GAAAAACTGTTGCTTTATTGAAGAGCTAGAGGCTAGGAATGATACAAGGGGTGTCGATCTTGAGCGATCAAAATATAGTCATGCTGAGTTTCAAATTATGGAAATGGAGGGAAATTTGAACTTTGGCACCTTCAAAAATGTACATTCTCAAAATTCATCAAAAATTCACCAATAAAACGTATATATTTTAAATAAATATTGATTGCGTATTACTAACTGCAATACGGGTGTACATTTTTTAATTTCATTTTCTGATGTTGGTCACTCATGACACCCCTAGTGTCAATTATAGCCTCTATCTTAACAAGGAAACAAAGGTTTTTCAAATATGTGGTGTCACATTGTTAGGAAACGATTAATCTTTAAAATGATATATAATACATGGCAAGGTTTTAAATATCTTATATGAATCTTTCATCTTTACATTTGGGTATTGTTGTTTGGCCCACCCTGTAGAAACAATAAACTCGAAAGAATTAGTCTTGGTCATGCGTTTAACTATCGCATTATAACAATTTTGAGCGCCATCCTCTGTTAACTGATATTTATAATGTAGTTTTCCAAAGAGCGAGGGAAAGTATCGCAACAGATTTTTGACAGTAAATAATTTTTTTCTAGTAGTTTCTGGCTGTACAAAAATGAATGCATATGAAAGGCCAATGTATAATCTTTAAGAAAAATTCAGAGAATGGTTTCAAGATCAATTGGATTATCTCATAAGCCATGTTTAATCCACCCATCAACAAGCTTTTTTCAAAATACAATCGTCATTTTCACCATCGTCCCTCATTTTTTTTTACAATTTTCATGCAAAGTTACATTGTACTTGAACACATGTTTCATCACTTAAAATATATAAGGAACTCCTCGTGGATTAGGATTATGATAATCCAATATAAGGGGATCCAATGGGGATCTAAAAGCTATGCTTTTAGTACAGCACACTCATATAAGATGTCATTAGTGTGCCATAAAGTTAGTTCAAAATGTTTTCATAAATGAATGGTTGGACTTGTTTGATCCCCTGCTGTTTGATCCCCTGTTTAATCAATGGAGCATAACCGCAGCATTTCCCCAAAAATTCTGAATACCTGTCAAGTTGACTGTTTAATGTTTGAGTGCAGTTAAACCTCTGTGTGTGTGTGTAAGTTGCTTTGTTTGTTTGTTTATATCCATCTGTACTAGGTGCTTTGATGCCACCTTTGTTTATTCTCTGGTGCTTGTTTTTCACACTGTGCTATCACTTGTAAGTTTTACACTGATGGTTTGTAGAAGTCTCTTTTTTTATTATTTATAAGTTGCTAAAAAATTCTAAATACCTCTCTTTATGATAATTTCTATGATGCCTAATTATAGCATTTACTTTGAACAGGTTTTCTGTATCTTGTTTATCAGTAATGATTCACGAGGTACAGTGCTATTAAAATCATAAATACAGTACAATTTAGTACATCATACCTTTGCCAATAATTTTAGTAAGACAAATATTTTGATCCAGCTTCTGAAAAAACATTGAACATATATGATGATGTTTTATAACACACTTCACATTTTTGCGGTAACGATAACAAAAAATGGCGGATGGGAAAGGCAGCATGTCCTCTTTCTCGCCTGTAGGAAATATTCACAGATAAGATTTCCTTTTAAACTAGTTCCATTCGGTGACGTATATATGGTTGGTTATAAAGACTGGGTCAAATCTGCCAGGTGGTCTACAAGAAACAGAATATAATCTGTAAACCTACCGACTGAGATATCAAAGTTTATAATATTTGGTCCATTCTCGTGTTGTCTCAGTACATGAGCCACTCAAAATATTAACTGTAAGTATAAGTAAACTGTGTATAACTACTGCAAATTCAAATACATTATTATGGCTTGAGTAAAACATAGGTGGTTTCCAATGCTCAATTGGCTTTGTATGATCGTATGTAGGTTACATCTATATACCACAAGGTTTTTAGGCAATGTAGACCATGCCCTAACAACAAAAACAAAAATAAACAAATTACTAAATTTTTGTGTAGTTTTGAATTTCAAACTCGACAGTTTTTCTCTTATTTCATGTTATCCCCGGGCATCAATTTGCAAAGGCTACGTTCAAAATATACATTACTGAAAGTATCACCGAATGGGATTTTTACATAAATCGTTCATCCTTTCATTGATACACAGAAATAGAAAATAATGCGCCAACCTTAGTTTTCTCTTCCATCGCGGCCATTTTATTGGATAAATTAGTGAACGTAGCTGTCCAACCTCGTTTTCAGAGGTGGCGTAACCGTCATGCTATAACACCGTGCTATTGACTATTTTCACATCACTGGCCTCTTTTTGTTTCCTGATTGATATAATGCCAATTGATGTAATGGTCCCCAGTTAAACCAGTTGAGAGATGGACAACATTACTGGGGGTCATAACAGTACTCGTTCATGTTCAAGTTCTCACACAAGTGTTTTACACAGTCTGTAGCCAGCTTTTACCAAGGGGTAGGAGCAGTTTTACCAAGGGCAAAGCTTTTGCCTAGGGATGAACTTTTGACAGTTTTGGCTAAAAAATCATGCGAAGTGCTCAGATTGGTGAGAAACTGCATCATTTTGAAAGAATCTCTTGGGGGAGCAGCAGCTCCCTTTATCTCTCCCCCTCTACCTGGCTAATTTTCACATTTTTTATATTTCTACTATTCAAATTGACCAATCCCCATTCATGTCATTTTAACAGGTCCCTTCATTACTTTACACTTGTGTTCATTAATCCCTTGTTTTCTAGTCGTATGTGCTTTTATTATTCAGTTTCACTATCTATTGTTTTGCCATGCCAGTTTTACATGTTTGCATGCTGAGTTTGTTTTATGTAATGTTTTTTGTTCCTTAAATGGTTTACACATTCACTCAATTGAGTTGAGGTGTTGCCCCATTACTAGTTAATGTTGCCTAGAGTTTGTGACTGTACATACACAAAGTATTTCAAATATATATTTTAGAAAACATTTTATATTTGATTCCCACCCAAGGGTCTTCCACTCACCCATTAACATAAACAAAACATGAACTCTAATAAAAATGCCAACAAGACTGCAAGGGAAACTTAATCTATGAATTGGACTTTGCCATATCACATGTATTAGTCCCGTGATCAGGGAGGGGGTGGAGGGGGGTTGAGAGACGACCCTCTCCCCTAGGCACATTTTCTGTCAACATCCTGCAATTTTTCACCACTTAAGTACTTTTCAAGTGATGTTCGGATGATGCTTTCATTTAATTGCTTGCACTGATGGTTTCTCTTGAAAATTCATGCACATAAGGTGATCTAGTATTTCAACACAGGACCCTGAAAGCGCTATTTGAGCTTGAAGTAGAAGTATTCATAGTATTACTGTTTGTATTATTAATCTCTACGATTTTTCAATAGGCTAACTCAGTCAGTGAATGCAGGATTAAAACACAACACACATGAGTAATTCACCCACCTATGCATGTTATTATTGAAAAACATTGCCATCTTTTACATCACTCCTAAATTATTTTTGTAAACATGCATTTTAAGAGGTTCATTTTTTCAAAAAAAACACAAAAACAAACTTCATGGAGTTCCTTACATATTTTACTTGATGAAACATGTGTTCAAGTACAATGTAACTTTGCATGAAAAATTGTAAAAAAAATGAGGGACGATAGTGAAAATGACGAATGTATTTTGAAAAAGCTTGTTGATGGGTGGATTAAACATGGATTATAAGATAATCCAATTGATATGGAAACTATTCTTTGAACTTTTCTTGAAGATTATAGATTCGCCTTTCCCAAGCATTTACTTTTTACAGCCAGAAACTACTCACAAAAAAATTATCAACTGTCAAAATTATCAAAAGTCTGTTGCAATACTTTCCCTGCTCCTTTACTTTACTTTTATGATCAGAAAACCTCAAAGAACAGGAAAGGGACGAGAGAAACAATTACATAAAATACCCGTAAACCATATAACTAACAATCTCGATCAATAGCAGTTTATGACCATGAAGATTGCAAAAGTAAGAATTACCCCTCCATTGTCCACTATCACGTTACAAGATCAGATGCTGCTAATAACAATATGCCATTAAAGCAGATTCGTGATATTTCGGTATTGACCTTTACCTAAATCGAATACTGTACAAATATCCCCTCATTAGGACTCCAAGGGTTTCCTGTAATGAGAAAATTTATATAAAATCACGTTCTCAACAAAACCCGTCTAGTTTAAAGGTCAATAGGGAGGTTAAATTAGCACTATTTCGAAGCATTTGAACGTGAATTGTGTAAGATTATGCTCCCCGTGGGATTATTTCATGCCCTTGTGATCTTTATTTGTCTGATTGGATATAAGGTATAATGAACATAGTTGGCTTTGCTATATTGCTTTGAAATCTCATTTGCATCTTAATTTAATGTGATTTGCGTATTTAACCATTGAGGACCTCTATTTGTTCATGCATTGACATAATTGAATTCTTTGAAAAATGATTTAACAGAAGAACTCGACTTTCATAGTATTCAATTTCAAATGATTTTATAATTTTCTGAAAACTGACGGCTAAATGTCGAATACTCTTTCAAAGATGATTACTCTTTGATCACTTTGTAAGGTTTACTAAGCATGCCAAAATTTAGTTGCATTCTAATGCAGCTATACAAGACACTATACAATAATCCAATTAGAATACTTTGAATTTTTTTCAGTTTGCCAATAAAGTAAGGAAATGTTAGACCTACTAATGCCTAGTTCACATTTGCGCCGGACGCCGGGAGTCGTAAGGTAATCGTACGATAACCGTACGGGACACGGTCGGGTAGATACCGATGAGTTTGGGTGAGAAAACAACACATCGGCAAATATCTCCGCGATAAAACTCTGTCGGCGCCTGGCCGACGTCTAAAAAAACGGCCGATGGTGCTTGATCATTGCCCGGCGCCCGTACGATGGCCGGACTCGCCGGCCGATTTTGAACAAAATACGCATCGGCCGGAAGCCGTAGTGAAAATCGAAGTAAACGTGACCAAGGCATTAGACTAATTCGAACATTTTATCCATTTATACAGCAGATTACTAAATATTTAACTAATTTAGAGGAGGGTAATAACAATAACTGACACGTCCCAGTTCAAATTCTCCAAAATAAGCGTATTTTAACCTCTCTATTAGTACTTTATAATGGTGTACTTTCGTACATCCTCAGAGTCAAAAGGGAAGTTTCGCCCTCATGCGAAGTTGTGCGAAACCTCTCTAATGTTTCGAGTGTATAGCTGCAGTATGCTATAAGCATCATATTCATTTTCTGAATGTGATATATACGATATGCTATAAGCATCGTAGCCATTTTTAACGTGAATATATATACGGTATATATCAACTGACTATTTACCACACTCCCATTTCATTTGATTGCAGATTAATCACAATACATGGCTTATTCGCCATGATCAATTTAATTACAGACTGTAGTACCAAACATGGACATTTTGACTTACATTTAATACTATATTGCCATGTGCTATTATACGTATTCCATTAAGTGGTCATGCATCCACGAATACGTAATATGTCTTGTTTATACTATGTACACACATTTTTACGTCGGATCAAAGCAGCATTCATCCTTTATATATGCTGGGACATGACAGTCCCTGCGTCCACCTCGGTCTACCTCAGAGCCTCGTCACAATGTCGTATGTGTTTCTATATCATCGACATGTTTAAGGATCTATCAATCCATCAAATTTATTTAGAGCACCGATGGATATATACGTCAATAATCTTCAGCTTAAAATGATAAAGTCTGTAGTGAGGGATGTTTTGTTACCTAGCTCACTACAATTAGGTAAGCTTTGTGGTCTACGAAATTTGAGTGTCCTAACACTTTAAGTCAGTTTATTTATATACTTTTTAACATCAACTGGCATTACTTTTTTTCAAAATGGCTCCATCTAGAATAAGTCATTAGTTCTATAGTGCTATTGACCACTAGATACAATCCACGTGAGGTTTGCCATTTTCATTTGTCATATCAGATAAGACTGGGCTGAGCCTGCTCCTTCCGGATATCCAGTACGGACGACGTATACATCCAGTACGGATGACGTATATAGAGGCGTCCAAAGAAAAACATGTCACTGGAAAACATCCCTGGGTATCGTTTTTTTCAAAACGACTCAACTTATAAAGCCACCATATCTACCATTTCTGTGGCCTTTTCACAGTTCGTCTGACTCGTCCCATTCACAGTATTGTTCACCATCGCAAACCTCTGCGTACGGCTTTTCAAGCCGCATATTGTGTTGAGATGAGCGTATCCGTCACGAATATCCTTCGTGCGTATGCCGTAGACAAAGGGATCGAAAATGAAGTTAAAGTAGGGTAGAATACATATGAAGTTGTCCTGGATCGTCTGGATGAGCGGACTATGATAATGGTACCTCAATAGCTTGACGGTGATATACGGCACAGCGACGACCATCAGTGAGCAGATAAGAATAACGGTCGTAACAATGGCCTTTCTATTTTCCTCTTGATGACGACATGTACGGGATTTGCTCATAGCAACCAAAAGTACTGAGACGATTCCATAGAGAACGAATATTGTAATGAAGATGGCGATGAGACCACACGGCCAGATGTAATTCCAGAATGCACATTTGTTGCCAAAATTGCCAAACACGCAAAGGCCAGGAAGAGCGAGTATTATTGCGCCAATCCAGATAGAGGAAATTATAATAGGCCAACGTTCGATGGAAAACAGCCGGCTGTATGACATCGGGTAGCGAATAGCTACAAATCGGAGAATCGCCAACTCAAGGAGGGTGATCCCAGATGCGCAGTAGAAAAAAGCGAACAGAATGAACTGGACTGTCTGGAGGTTCTTCAACATCACGAACGTATATGGAGATATTTGACCTTGCGCAAGTTTCAACCACATAACACGAGGCGCAACTTCGAGGTATGTTACCAAAGCGTTCAGAGTCTCTGCCACCGCGAGGTTCAAGAAAAGCTTGTGGCTGCACGAGTTAGCACCTGGGATATTGTGTATTGCGGCAATCGAAAATGAGTTTGTGATAAACGCCAGTAGAAGTAAAACCGTCGAGATAGCCACGAAACGATAAACGGAGAAAGAATCCTCAATTGAAAATCCAAGTGATCCATTGTATGTAATATTAGATAGACCGTAGTCCAAGCTGTAATTCCAACTGTAGTTGCTGGCCATTTTTATTTATAAGTGATGGCTTACAATTGCTTTTTGATGTCCGCGACTGATTGAGTCATTTACCTAATCGCAGAAAGATATATCTCAATTGTGTTTTTTATCGTCCATCCCTTCTGTCGTTAATCCATGAGGACAACGCGACTTTCCACAATTCTAGCTATTTTATTTCATCGTCGACTGTGTTTGTTTTATTGTCGGGTTTACACCTTCGACTTGTCCAATTCTAGTTCCAATTAGTTATGGGATTTGTTCCCCGTCAGTACGAAGTAAGTAGCTCGTATATCGGGTTCTGTCACATTTCAATTTCCATCGAGTTCACGGTGTAACTGAAAATATAAAATCACAGGGATAAATCTACGTATACAATACCTTCGTGACATTCACATTGTAAAATACGAATCGCTAGAAAAAATGTTGCAAATATCGGAAGAAAGGAGTGGTATCGATATGGAGAATTTCTTTAACACACGTTTCTCTTAAACCAGTCATAAAAAATCTAAAAATTTAACATCGTCAAATTAATGGTCATCTTTTGAATGGTAACAATATAATTTGAAATATATAGAGATTATCCTATATGAGGTTCAGGATATTGGGATTTTCCTGAGGCAAATATAATATATTTGCACGAGGGCCGCAGGTCTCGAGGGAAAATATATTATATTGGCGCATTAAAGTATTGTCAATCAGTCAACATTACATAAAATACCGTGTTTTTACAGAATGTTTTCAATGATTGGTTTTATAGAAAAACATTGTTGAATTCAGTTCTCCATATCGATACCAATCCTTTATATATCTGTAAAAATGAAAGTGAGAAGATCTATCCACCACGGACCTCGTTTATCATACACGTTCGTTGAATCGATGGACGATTAGCTCAATTTAACCTATGTTCCTGTTAGAATCTTAATAAACAACGGTAAAACAGCGTTTACGTAAACATAGTTTTTATATAATAGAACATGTTACAACCCCGACAGCGAAACGTGTACTAAGTTAAAATATTGTCATTCAATATGGTCGAATAACAGCGTAATTGTCACAACGAAATTCACGACGTTGCATTTTTGTTATTTTTATGAAGTTGTTATGTTAAGCATACATGTAGATTATATAGTTGAGGTATAGATAAAAACAAAGTATTATTTCTTTCTATACACCCTTGAATTCTTAAATCGGATCCACATTTTGCAACAGGTTGTGTTTTTTTCAACTGATGTAATAAAACGTGCATTTTTATCTCCCAATAAATGTTTTTATATTCTCCCAAAAACATCAATATGGAATCAGACAGAGTCTGTCGGGCCACACTGCTTATATAAGAAGGCGGACACCGATCATCAAGCACCGTAATTTCTTTCACACTAGATATCGTTAGGCCTTAATGCGAGTAAGGGGTCTTGTAAGAATAAATGCACTTAGACTTTACATACAAGGTAGACGTTTCCAAAGCTCAGAAAATTGCCTTATAAATTGTTTCTTATTAGTACAACGGTGCAGTTGTATCAACACGATCATTTATATCGTCTTTAGGTCGCCTGTATAGGTTGAAGAAAATTAAAGAACAACAGGTCGATACTAATCAGGCTTATATATTTGAAAGCGTTTCAAGCTATATAATACAAGTCTCGGATTTTAAATTCACTAAGTGTTTGTACGCGAGTGTTAATATCTTAAGGTGTTGATGATAATTTAGATTAGAGTGTGTAATCTGCTAGAAGCACTATTTTATAAAAGCAAATCGTTCTTTACTTGCAATCATAATTTCATTATTTGGAACATGGAACGGCGTGTATGGTTTATAAGCTATCTAAGACTGAAGATGTTACGTTATTTAAAAAAAAGAAAAGAGAACACCCATCTTTCGAAATTATATATCGACAGCGTACTTTCAAACTGGTCGGGGTTTCATGGAACAAAGTCAGTGATGCTGATCCTCTGAATTATGTACATTTAATGTAAAATGTCCTTATCACTCGAGACTCACTTAATATTGTTTTGATACTATCAGTAGGGTAATTGTATTCAGACAATTCTGATTGAAACAACATTAATCGAAATATAAGGAAATATCAGTACATGGTGAAAAGTCGAGTTTTCAATTTTTAAAATAGTGGCTTTGAATACATTTCGAATGGTCGTTGCATGAATCTAAGATTTATTTTACATTTCTAAAATGTTTATCATATCGATATTACGATTGCATACACATTTCATTTTCTTCCTATCTCTTCTTCAACCCATCTCATATCCAACGAATCTACACTCCCCTCTATAAGTTTGGCAACCTTAGCTCTCCCATTGAAGTACGTGTTAAAGCCTCTTTACCTTTGAATTTTTATTTACTTAACCTGCGATGAAAATACTTATAATATTGATGGAAAGGTAATTTGACTTTAATTCCAATACCTCCAAATTTGTTTTTATTTACTTAACCTGCGATAAGATTACTTATACTATTGATAGAAACGTAACTTGACTTATTTAGTTCTTGTATTTTTTGCAAGGACTCGAATGGATGGATATTCTGTCATATGACTTGCTGCAAACCTACCATTTCCCATTGGTTAACATGGGAATGACGATTTTCAAAAATTCATCAAATTTATCATCAATTTTCCGACTTATTGTAATTGAGGAAAAAAATGGGAAAATGTTGAGTTATTGGAAATAAAGTCAAGTTACGTTTCCATCAATAGTATAAGCAATCTTATCGCAGGTTAAGTAAATAAAAATTCAAACGTATAGAGGCTTTAACACATAGTTCAATGGGGGAGTTAAGGTTGCCAAACTTATGGAGGGGAGTGTATCATACCTCCTAGTGTAGTATCACAGAATTCCATTTTGACTACAGTATATCGTTCATTGTATTTGCAATTGCGTGTTTAATATCTGATATACTCAAGGCGCTCAATATGTGCTCGTGTAGATAAACAATAAATTACTACGAATACAAAGATTGAATTATGATACCATTTGCAAATAATACCATTCCCTTTCAAGACTTACCGACGAAATACCGAAGTCAGATAGCAGTTCTACTGTACGTATAACTCAGGCATCATAGTCACAAGAGATAGTTGTTGAGATAAAATATATTGATATTGGCACATTTTGTCGATAAATATGAAAACAAAACATCCAGGCGTCAAGCTATCTCAGAATATTGCCAGCATAAAGAATAGAAATAGAATTTAGGTAAATTGACTATGTTCAACAAAAATAATGACAATGGACCGAAGTTTTTTTTTTTATTTCATAAAGAAAATGGTCATTTCTCAAAAAGGTTCAGATATGCTTTTAATAATAAGCCGGAATGAACTAAAAACGTAAACTGGAGTATGTCTGTTTTTATGACATATTGTTCTCAGTTGACCATTTTATCTATTATCTGGGTCCTAGATTTTTTAATGACATATTGTTCTCAGTTGATAGTTTTTGACTATTTCATCTATTATCTGAGTCTTTGATTTTTTAATGACATATTGTTCTCAGTTGATAGTTTTTGACCATTTTATCTATTATCTGAGTCCTAGATTTTTTAATGACATATTGTTCTCAGTTGATAGTTTTTGACCATTTTATCTATTATCTGAGTCCTAGATTTTTTAATGACATATTGTTCTCAGTTGATAGTTTTTGACCATTTTATCTATTATATGAGTCCTAGATTTTTTAATGACATATTGTTCTCAGTTGATAGTTTTTTGACCATTTATCTATTATCTGAGTCCAAGATTTTTTAATGACATATTGTTCTCAGTTGATAGTTTTTGACCATCTTATCTATTATCTGAGTCCTAGATTTTTTAATGACATATTGTTCTCAGTTGATAGTTTTTGACCATTTTATCTATTATCTGAGTCCTAGATTTTTAATGACATATTGTTCTCAGTTGATAGTTTTTGACCATTTTATCTATTATTTGAGTCCTAGATTTTTTAATGACATATTGTTCTCAAACTCACGTTCGTTCTCAAGCTAGAATCATGTGTCACATAACAAAGTATTACGTAATAGTTGGGGTATCTGACACCTGAACACATGCTGTAGATCAGACAGAGGGATATGTCCAGTAGATAGCTCCCATGACAGAAAGGGTGATGAGATATCTGACTCCCGACCATGCTTGGTAGATCGCGAAGACCTGACACCCAAGGCGATCGCGAATAGTGCGGTAGATAGCCCCTTGCCTAAAAAGGTGAGGTATCCGACACCCGAGCATGCTTGGTAGATCGCAGAGATCGGACACCCAAGGCAAAACTGCAGTAGAATACCCCACGGGAGATCTCCCGTACGGACAGTACGGAAGATTGCTAATTTTGAGATTCAATAATAAGTTGGGGTTTTGAAACGAATTAATGAGTGTAAATGCCATATCATTTCTCCATTGAATTCATTATTTCTGTATGATATTAAAATAATCGTCGGAACAAATATTTCAGATGACGATAAAAACATTGATACCTCACTATCATTACATAAACGGATCCGGGTTATAAGTGTAGATCTTCACCGTTTTTGAAGTTCCGTTTACATCGAGGTTTCAACATTTTGTTAACGAAACGAAGCAGTTACTAGTTTGAAGAGTGTAGTACCAGCGACTCTTCTCTAGAGCATATCGATTTGATATATACCAAGTTAATTGTGTAAACGGAAACACAGAATAACAACATATACCATAAGATTCAGGCATTTCATATTTACAATGATTTGATGTTTGATCGGTTTTAATTTCTTTTTTATCGATTGCAACGTATACTAAGGGTGTATGCTTTTTATACAGATAAAATCCGTTTATTTTTGCTTCTCATATTCGATGGAGTCATATTTCTGGTTTCACATTACCAGACAAGACTAAAGCATTTCATAATTTAGTTTTCATAAGCGTTAATTATTTCATTCTTATAACCATATAACACTCAAGTTTGTTTTTGTTTAATTGGTCGAAACCCAACTTGGTCCAAAACTAAAGTTAAAGCTCACGTTAGGCTGCCTCACGATATCCCTTGGTATTTGAAGTCCGAAAAGCTTTAATTTCGTAAAGTGCAAGACATCCGATAGTGCCTCCATGGGAAAATAAAAACATTTGTTTACGATTGGCAGGACTTTTCGGGAATACTTTATTGTTTACTTCATCGGCATTTGTTATTCTAAATACGAACCAATTTGTAAAAATAGTTACTTTACGAACGATGTTATGACGCATTCTCAAAATCAACTTGTAGATTAATATTTAACATTGTAGCTTATGGCGAATCGCGGGTGTATTAAAGAGGCACTATACCTTCAGACGCAAAATCAGTAACCCTGGACATTTTG